TCTGGCTCCATCTTATGGCCGTTTGAGAAACCACACCTAATTGCTCTTAAAGAGACAGTATTAAAATGTCTATCCTGGTTTATATATTTCTAACCCAAATACCTGTTAGGTGACTTATATTCCTAACAACAACAATGTCTATCCTTTTCTACTTGAGTCAGGCGAGGGCGACCAGCCCCCAACTGCATGGGTTCCTCCAAAGGCATTTCCACCAAGGGCGCCCTCTTGCTGGAAACAGATCCGGTCTCTGTCCATTGTCGCACCCGTCGCTGCTGAAGTCCTGAATCGATATGAAGACACAGATGCATGAGCTCCTGAAGGGTGCGATGGCATTCAGTGCACGCCAACTCATCCAGGAGCTCCGACGACAAACCCTCCTGGAACTGGTCTAATAGTGCTGCCTCATTCCATTGTACATCCTGAGCAACCACTCGAAAACTAGCAATATAATCCATGAGTGAGCCACGCCCCTGCTTCAACTCTCTCAAACGTCTGTTTGCTGTTTGGCTTTGAACAGGGTCCTCAAACATGGCCTGAAACTGATGGCAAAACTCGGCGTAATTGTCCAACACCTGGTTGGGCTGGGTCAAGAGAGGCGTTGCCCAATGTGCTGCAGAGCCTGACAATAAACTAATCAAAAACCCCACCTTATCCCGGTCAGTGGGAAAGTCCTCAGGCCGAAGGCTCATGTAAAGCTGGCACTGCCCAAAAAATGCTGGAAATTGGGCCAGCGAACCATCAAATTTATCTGCCACTGCCACTGGGCATTTTGAGAGTGGCTGGGCAGCTTGCATTTGTGCCACCTGTGCAATTAAAAGAGCCACTTGCTGGCTTAACTGGGCAATCTCTGCTCTGAGCTGATCCATGGTCACCCCACAAAAAGCAAAAATAAGTTAAAAGCCGAGATGAAAGTGGACATTCTTAAGGTAGAGGACAAGATTGGAACACTACAACAGGCTCTTGAAAAAAACGAAACAATGATAAAAGAAATAGAGACAAGGACGGAACGAACGGAAAAGAATTTGGAAAGGGTAGATGAAGAATTAAAAAATGGAAGCAAAGAAATGGAAGATTCATTGGTCTACCTAGAAATGGATAAGGCGGCTGCATACCTGAGATTCCAGAATGTGGAGGAATCCAAGGAAGAAGATCTGGAGCAGCTAATGGCAGAAATATTGGCCGAACTATTGGGAAAAGACAAAGATGATATACTCAGGGAATTTGATGAAGTCTACAGGGTCAGCACCAACTATGCGAGATGTCATAAATGCCCGAGAGAGGTCCACATTCGTTTTGCGAGAAGGATTGTCCGAGATATAATATTTAGGATGTCTAGAGACGGAACAATTATGTATAAAGGCAAAGAAATTTTGATCCTTAAGCAAATTCCAAGGAAAGTAAGGGAAATAAGACGAGACTATAAATTTCTAGCTAGTTATCTAAATCAGAAAAAAATTCTATTCAAATGGCTAATCCCGAAGGGGATGTTAGTAACATGGAAAGAAAGGAAAATCAAAATAGATTCTATGGAAAGGGCTCAAGACTTTTACGGACAACTAGTAGGCATGGAAGACCAAAGTAGTAAGGAGGAATTAAAAAGAAATTTACAGGAAATTTACAGGAAGACCAAAGTCACCACAGAAATAAAAAAGAAGGATCCCCAAGAAACCAAGCAGATTTAGTTTGGTCAAACCTGGAAGGAAGAACTCTGGTTTTACAGATCTCGATCAATACCATTTCAATTCTATTCGTAGTAATTTATGCCCCAAACGAAGACCAGAAACAGTTTTTTAAATATTTACATCAAAAAATTATAGGATTTGAAAAAAGAAATATCTGTATTATAGGAGATTTTAACTCTATTGTTAAAAGGACCATAGTAATGCGAGGAAGAACAAAAAAAGAAAAAGAGAGTTTCCTAAGATATGTAAGGAAATGATGAAAGAGTTAAATTTGGTGGACTTATGGAGAAGATTATACCACGAAGAAAAACAATTCACATTTTACTCTAACCCGCATCAAATATGGACAAGAATCAATATGGCGTGGATGAATGGGGAAATTGCAAATGAAATAAAAGGAATCAAAATTTTACCAAATGAATGGGCTGATCATAACCCAATTCAAATAATTTGGAAAGGTAGGGAAAAACCAAAGAAAAGATGGACATTAAACACCCAATTAATAAGAGAAAAAGAGTATACTAATAAACTTAAGGAGGAATTAAACTATTTTCTAAAGGAAAATGATAATGATGTAACCTCGAAACAAAATATCTGGGACACACTGAAGGCAGTTATAAGAGGTATAACAATCTCTTATAACGCCATGAGAAATAAAGCAAAATATGCTCAACAAAATAAATTACAACAACAAATTAAGGAATTAGAAACCCAATTACAAAAGACCCTGAAAGATCAAAGAGTACAAAATCAGATAATAACAGTCAAACATAATTTGAATTTAATTGAACAAGAAAAAATGGAAATAAATTTGAAAATGACTAAAAAAATTTATTTTGAATATGCTAATAAACCAGGGAGATGGCTATCTTATAAACTAAAAAGAAAGAAAGAAAAGAGATTGATATACCAATTAATAGACGAGAAGGGCGACATACAACAAGAGATAGAAAAGAAAAAAGACATTGTACATAAATACTTTGAAGAGTTATATAAAAAAGAAGTCAATGAGGATAAAATAAGAAATTACTTAGATGAAATGAAAGATAAAGTAATCGGAGATGAATTGATAGAATTATTAAATAAAGATATTACTTGGTCCAAACTGAAATCAGCAATAGAGAATCAGGGGAATAATAAAACCCTGGGGCCAGATGGGATCCCGGGAGAATTATATAAGGCAATTGCGGAACAAATTGGACCACTTATGATGGAAGTGTTTAACGAGGACTTATTGGCAGCCAGGATGCCGGACTCGTGGAGGGGAGCATTGATTTCACTGATCCTGAAGGAAGAATCTGACCTTAGATATATTAACAACTACAGACCAATTTCACTCCTAAACACCGACTACAAAATATTCTCCTCTATCATAGCTAATAGACTAAAACGAGTTTTAAATTTGTATATACATGAAGACCAAAATGGATTTCTCCCAACTAGACAGATAAGGAATAATTTAAGAACAGTAGTAGATGTTTTAGAATTTTATGAAGCCCACCCCGAAAAACAAACTGCACTTATGTTTTCAGATGCAGAAAAGGCATTCGATAACTTAAATTGGCAATTTTTAATTCAAAAAATTTATAATATGAATTTAGGCACTAAATTTGAAAACATCATAACAACAATTTACGATACAAAGCAGGCCAATATCATAATAAACAGGGAATACACTCGACCAATAAAAATAGAAAAAGGAGTTAGAGAGGGTTGCCCTCTTTCACCCCTCCTCTTCATATTCGCTTTAGAAACACTATTAACACGAATTAGGCAAAATCCTGAGATTAAAGGATTGAAGATTAAAAAAGATTCACTATTAACCAATTGGAAAAAAGTACGGAAAAAACACTATTTAAAAGTACTGATTTGGTTATCGACAATGGAGGCGATGATTCATCCAAACAATCTGGACATTACTAAAATGATCAAATACAAAGATTTATTAGATGCACAAGGAAATTTGAAAACACGACAAGAGCTGCAAGAGCGAGGATTTAAAATAGATCAGTGGGTATTTCTCCAAATTCACAGTAGATACAAACAGGATAAAAAAAAATCGGAATTAACAATAAACTCCAGCATTTAGACAAAATTTTACTAGGATCAGACAAAAAAAATATAACTAAATTTTACAACTACCTACTAGAAGTAGAGTTAGAAGAAGAGACAGTCAAAGGGAATATGATAGCCTGGAGTAGGAATGTTGGACGGAGTATCACATTAACAGAATGGGAAAAGATTTGGAGTAGAAACAATAAGATCACCAAATCGGCAGCTTATAAAGAAAACGCTTATAAAATGTTTTACAGATGGCACTTTCCTCCTTCGAGATTAGCGAAGATGCACCCCAACACGAGCCCGAAATGTTGGAAATGTAAAAGTATAGATGGAACCTTTTTTCACATGTGGTGGTCTTGTAAAGAAACTCAGAAATACTGGCAAAGAATTAGAAAGTGGCTAGAAGATATAACAAAAGAACAGATTGAGTATAAACCAGAGTCCTTCCTGTTAGGGATTTTTGACAAACAGCTACCTAAAAAAGTGAAGTATATAATAATACATATATTAACAGCGGCCAGGCTAGTGTTTGCTCAGTGTTGGAAACTACCTCACATACCTACAGAACAGATGATCATCCAAAAAATCTCAGACTGTGCAGAAATGGACAAACTAACTTTAGCCCTAAAAAACAAAGATTCTTCAATATATTATAACAATTGGAATTGTTGGTATAAATGGTTAGATCAAAGATAGACCTTATATCATAAGGTAAAAAAGAGTGGGACAAACTTATATGAGTGTAATATATATATGGATAAGATGTGCGTATATGGTATAAAATAAGAAGAGAAGAAGAGAAAAGATCTTACAAACTGTCGAAAATGAGAATGTTTTTAAGTGTTCGTTCTTTCTTTCTTTTTCTTTCTTTCTCCTTTCTTTTTGCTTTTCTTTCTCTTTT